TTTCTATTTTGTCCTGTGTCGAACGTTCCGCGTGTGGTAGGTGTGTGTAGAAGACCCATCAAGAACTCAAGGATGATTTTGTGATGAAGAGCCCGAGCCTTGGTGTCAAGCCTCAAGTGATTTCGAAGCTCGCCAAAAGGGTGCACCTCAAGAAAAAGAAGATAGTTACATTACTTTGTGTAGTGTAACATTTCACTTGGTGTATGCCCTAGTGAAGGGTAGTTTCGAGACCCTTCGTGGTTGGGGACAGTGTGGCACTGTTCCACATCACTGTACCTCGGCTCTTGGGGTTTGTAGGAGCTGGGAGTCATTCCCAACTCGTAACTCTTCATATCTCTTCCTATTTTGTGTTCTAAGACTATAGTGGCTGCCATAGTGCCGTTCGTTCAAACCAACACTGTGTCGTCAATACTTGGTGAAATTGTGCGATCTAAATTGCCTGTTGTAGGCGACGTTCAGACGCTCCAGATCCAAGTTGAATCAAGTCATTTGAAGTTGTGACCAGAACGCTATGAACGTTTGAAGCCGCTGTGCTGAAATCCAGCTGTGCACTCTATCTTTCGTTTTAGGCACATTGGAGCCTATTGTGACTATAACAAAACCCTGGTTGGCTTGTCAGAAAAGCCTCGAGTCGACGAAGCGTCGCCTGCGTCTGCTCCATGTTGGTGCGGAGGCTCGCGATGTCGCTCGTAGTCGCGTAGTTGTCGCCTTGGCCCTCCATGCCTGACATCAACGCGTCCGAAAAATCGAATCGAGGGGGAGCGAAAAACACGGAACCGGTTTTACGTACCCGAAATCGATGTTTGACTGCGTCGCCCCCGCAGTTTTTGAAGACTGGTTTTTAGCGGTCGAAAGAACTTCGCGTGTAAACGGGCTCTGATTACCAAGTGTGAGGATCTAGGATCGAGCTCAGAAAAGAGAATATGAATTGAATCGAATTGAATGATCACCTGGGTACAACACGAGGCTATATATAGGCTCGACACAAGGCCCCGTAACCAGGTGTTAGGCGAAGGTTCCGCGGGTCGCGTAGCGTCCCGAACAGACCCTTACCGAATTCGGTAGAAGGCAATTCAGTGGCAACCGAAAAGGCCAGAATTCGGTGCACGCAACCTAGCTCGGTGCTATAACTATAATAAAATATAGGAAAGCACCTAGCCTAGGAAATCAAGCAATTCATGCATGAATATGATTATCCTATGCTAGAAATAGCATGATAAAGTAAAGGCAAGCAAGCATAGCTGGCATAAGCCGTCGTACCCTCACAGTCGGCTCGCTGCAGTTCGCGGCGACGACAACGAGGCCGGACATCGCCTTCGCCTGCACCAAGCTGGGGAGCGGCCTCACGGTGAGGAGCGACCAGCACTGGCGCGAGGTCGACCGCTGCCTCTCCTACCTCGCCAACACGCGTGACACCGCCCTAGAGTTCGGCGGTGGACCTGAGTCACTGGAGCTAGTCGGCTACGTAGACGCCGACGACGCCGGTGACAAGCAAAACAGGACGAGCACGAGCGGCTACGTGTTCGTCTACGGAGGGGCCGCGGTCTCCTGGTCGAGTCAGCGCATCAAGTGCGCGACGTTGTCATCGACCGAGTTGGAGTACATGGCGGCCACCGAAGCTGGCAAGGAGGGACGCCGACTTCGCTTCCTCCTCGCAGAGTTCCAGCAGCTGGATGCTGGGAAGCCGACTGTCCTTCGGGTGGACAACAAGTCGGCCATCATAGTCGCCGAGGGCATGGGGTTGACGGGCAACCTCAAGCACATGGAGGAGCGACAGGCCTGGCTGCAGCACATGGTGAAGCGCGGGAAGTTCTTGCTGAGGTACATCCCGACCACTGAGCAGCCGGCCGACTTCCTTACGAAGGCGGTGCACTATCCGGCCTTCAACCGGTGCTCCGTCGCCATCGGCCAGGTGCGCTTGGCCGACGTGGGCGACGAAGTTGACGATGTGCAACAGTAGGTGCCATGCCCTCTTGCATGGTTGGTGCGGTGGACGACGTGCCGTGAGTTGGGTGCACGTCGACGAGCTATTCTCCGAGGAGTACTGCCGTGTGGGCTGGGGGCCCAAGCGTGAACGCGGCAGGGGAGTGTCAACGGGAGTTGTGTGTTGGCCCCGTCCTCGCTTGGGCGGAGCCGAGTTCGTGGTCGGATGTGAGGGGAGCAGCCGACCTGCAGCAGTGGACGAGCTGGTTGACGAGGAGGTCGACCTGCACGGGGACCACTGCACGGGGTCGACTTTAGTATGATGCCGACTTCAGGGAGGTCGACCTGGGAAGTCGACCTTCGGAGGACGTCAACTTGGTGACGTCAACTTGGGGAAGCCGACTTCGGTGGTCGGCTGACGGACTGCTGGTCGACCTGGTGGTTGGTCGACCAGACCTGCTGGTCGACCTGCTGGTGGTCGACCTGACCTGGTGGTCGACGGCGGAGGGGCCGACGTCGACCTCGACTTAGGACGCCGAGCAGTTTGGCGTCGAGTAGCGGGGCGTCAACTTCATGACGCCGACTTCGGGTAGCCGACTTGGGTGGTCGGCCGACAACTGCGCTGGTCGACATGAAGCTAGTCGACCACGAATGCTGGTCGACGTGGAGCCGTCCGACCGGAAGTGACGTCGACGTGGAGCTGGTCGACCAGGTGCGTGGTCGACCTGGTGAGGTCGACTTGGAGGTGGCCGTCGACTTGGGAGGTCGACGGGCATGTACGGGAGCAGCTGGTCGACGTGGTTGCCAAGTCGACCAGGTTACCTGGGTGACGAACTTCTGCGGAGGAGTGCGACGGTCGCCCAGGCGAAGTTGGCGAGCCCGACCTCGGGGTTGGTATCCCGAGGTCGACATGGCGGATCAGGTGGAGTCGTCAGCACGAGGATGACTTGGTGTGTGCGTTGTGCAGGTGACGAGGCACAGCCCACCAATCATCTGCGAGCACCTGCGAAGCGGGTGCGCTGCTGTTCTGCGTGAGCAGCGCTGGCACGTCGTCAACCTGCGAAGTTGGCCTGCGTCGACTTTGCACTGCTGGAGCGCGGTCGACCAAGTCGTGGTGGAACGCGGTCGACCATGTTGCGCTGGCATTCGACCGACCTGAATGCTAGCTCTGATGTAGTCTTGCATTGCCAACTTCATTGTACCATTGTTGTCAACTTTCTCTAGTGAAACTCTTGCCAATTCTCCCTGTGAACTAGCAAGTTGTGTGCGCACTAGGAAAACGACTAAGGGCGTATTCCTATCCTCCTATCAAGAAAACCTCCTATCAAGCTCTCACTGGAAAATTCCCTAAACCCAAAATCTCTCGCTACTTTTACCAGGCAAAAGGTACAATCTTGATAGGAGGTTTCTTGATAGGAGGCCGTAGGAATACGCCCTAAGGACCAACGAACGCAGAGATCACACGAGCACCCGTGCCTAGCCCGTAGTCTAGCTCCCGCTGTATTAGTTATCTCCGCAGCAATAAGACGAATCGACTTCATCAGTGCTAGAATAAGATATTTTATCCGGACGCGACGTGGTGCGACAATGTTCCTGAAGCCTTTGTAGGACGATTTACCGTGACGTTTAAAACCGGAGGTCCAAGAGTTTCTAAGTTAGGAAGGTTGAAAGGGGAGAGAAAGGTGACTGGCTCGCGAACCAGGGTGGTGTCGAAATTGGTGGTCTGGGGTTGTAAAGGAAGAAAATTTCGCGAAAATAACCAGATCTGGAATGCAACATCAGAACTGGTTCGCAGACAGTTTCGGACGGGCTTCAAATTTGTTGGCGAAGTCGTCACTGCTTTCGTCCTCGCTAGAACAGTAGTTTCGCGTGACGAAAATTGTCCCCCCGATTTGCGAAGTGAGTCGTACCTACTGCGTCACCCCTTCTCAAAGTTAGGAAGGTTGAGGCACTTTGGGGCTGTTTGGGACTCCGGTTTTAAGCCAAAGTCTCTACGCAATCATCTGTGCAACGTTTCAGACATCTAGATCGTTGCGTTACCTCGCACTCTTAACGCTGCTACAGATGAGGCTGTGTTACATCCGTGCGACGTCTCAGACATCTAAATCGTTACGTTCCCGCCATCGCCTCCGCTCGTGACGTCGCTACAGACGAGAAGGAGTCGCGCAACGCTGTTATCTGTGCGACGCTTCAGATAGAGTCGCTCGCGTATTTCTCAACCGGACGCTTAGCCGTTCACGAGAAGTTTGTCGCTGCGAAGCCGTCAACCCTCGCGTCGCTTCCGAATCTCGCAAAATTCGAGGCCTCTACTACTACGGCATGCTAAGGAAAGCAGGGAGCGTTGCGGAGAGGATCTGACGGGCGACGTGCTACAGACGACGCTGACAAAGTCTTGGCGCTGACGAAGACATCTGACGCTAACGGAGACATTCGAAGCTGACGGAGAAATCCGACGCTGACGAAGGAGGGGGGAGCATCGCGGAGAACAACTGGCGGATATGGAAGCAGCGCGAAGCATCTCCTCGACTCCCATCGCTCTCTGCGGCAGCGCGGATGCGTCACGGCGAGAGCAGCGCAGATGCGTCACGGCGAGAGCAGCGCGGATGCGTCACGGCGAGAGCAGCGCGGATGCGTCACGGCGAGAGCAGCGCGGATGCGTCACTGGTGACCGCGATGACGGAGGAGCAGCTCGCGACGTCCGTACGAAGCTCACGACGTCCGTACGAAGCTCGCGACGTCCGTACGAAGCTCGCGAATGTCCCTGCTCGCGACGTTCCCTGCTCGTGCTGCGAATGTCCCTGCTCGCGACGTTCCCTGCTCGTGCTGCGAATGTCCCTGCTCGCGACGTTCCCTGCTCGTGCCGCGAATGTCCCTGCTCGCGACGTTCCCTGCTCGTGCTGCGAATGTCCCTGCTCGCGACGTTCCCTGCTCGTGCTGCGAATGTCCCTGCTCGCGACGTTCCCTGCTCGTGCCGCGAATTTCCCTGCTCGCGACGTCCTGCCGCTACGGAGTCTCGCCGCCAGACGGTTGTGGTGAGTTTTCATTGTAAAACGCACGATCGTTAAAGTAAACGTTTGATGATGTATCTAGTATCTCCAGTGGCCATTATTCTCTTGCTGATCGCGTTTCGTTTCCAATCAAGCTGCGCATTTCCGTTTCTGCACATTATATTATGATAGCGTATCTCACTCGCTGCACATTAAACTGTTCGTGCAGGTGCGGAGGTTATTTGAGCTTGTCTCTCGACAAGGTCTGGAGCGGTGCTGACTACGTTGATGCTGGAAGGATGGACGCTTCTTGAGCTGTCGCGGGAGGAGATGGCTGACTGGCGGTGGTGCTGGCGAGAGGAGATGGCTGACTGGCGGTGGTGCTGGCGAGAGGAGATGGCTGACTGGGCGTTGCGGGGGAGCTGTCAATGACGGGGGTGACGCAACTGGTGCTACGACGGGACGCGCGGAGCGGGGGAAGCGTGGCGGGGGAGCTGTCAATGACGGGGGTGACGCAGCTGGCGCTGTGGTCGCTCTGCTCGTCCTGCTGGAGCTGACGCGTGTACACGTGGCGAGGTACCAGGAGGATGATGACGTGGCGACCAGGAGGGAGGCCGCCGTGTGCTGCGCGCAATTCAACGAGGGGTACGGCGTGTGGTGGCAGGGAGCATGCTCTGGTTCAGTGTGAAGGGTGCTGGACGGGGCGAGGAGCTGTCATGTGATGCTCTGTCTGCCTGCGTCTATGGGAGGAGCGCTGGCGAGGAGAGAGAGGAGCGGTGGCGAGGAGAGAGAGGAGCGCTGTGCGAGGAGAGAGAGGAGCGGTGGCGAGGAGAGAGAGGAGCGCTGGCGAGGAGAGAGAGGAGCGCTGGCGAGGAGAGAGAGGAGCGCTGGCGAGGAGAGAGAGGAGCGCTGGCGAGGAGAGAGAGGAGCGCTGGCGAGGAGAGAGAGGAGCGCTGGCGAGGAGAGAGAGGAGCGCTGGCGAGGAGAGAGAGGAGCGCTGGCGAGGAGAGAGAGGAGCGCTGGCGAGGAGAGAGAGGAGCGCTGGCGAGGAGAGAGAGGAGCGCTGGCGAGGAGAGTGAGGAGCGCTGGCGAGGAGAGGAGCGTTGGCATGGGGAAGGGGTGTTGGGCGGGGAGTGTGTACGTAAGGTAAAGGTAAAGGTCACGCACTCCCCATCACGCACTCCCCATCACACACTCCCCATCACACACTCCCCATCACGCACTCCCCATCACGCGCTCACCACCACACACTCCCCATCACGCACTCCTCATCTCTCACTCACCAGCTCCACCTGCTCCCTCTGCACCGCAGCCCTCATCTGTCTGCATTGTCACATGCTTTCTCTCAAAGAGCTTCTGCCTGTACCTGAGGGTCAGGCCATTTGGTCTTGTCCCTGTGCACCTGTGCATCGCATTCAATGGCACAATCACTCTGTTGGTGAGGTGAGCTTCTGTTTCCCCCTCCCTTGTGCTCGTCATTTCCTTGTCATGAAAACGTTCCTCCTCGCGCTCTCTTCCTGCATGGCACGCACGGCATCCTCGAGTCTATTGCCACCAGTGAGGTGAGTCTATTGCCACCATTGAGGTGAGTCTATTGCCACCAGTGAGGTGAGTCTATTGCCACCAGTGAGGTGAGTCTATTGCCACCAGTGAGGTGAGTCTATTGCCACCAGTGAGGTGAGTCTATTGCCACCAGTGAGGTGAGTCTATTGCCACCAGTGAGGTGAGTCTATTGCCACCAGTGAGGTGAGTCTATTGCCACCAGTGAGGTGAGTCTATTGCCACCAGTGAGGTGAGTCTATTGCCACCAGTGAGGTGAGTCTATTGCCACCAGTGAGGTGAGTCTATTGCCACCAGTGAGGTGAGTCTATTGCCACCAGTGAGGTGAGTCTATTGCCACCAGTGAGGTGAGTCTATTGCCACCAGTGAGGTGAGTCTATTGCCACCAGTGAGGTGCGTCTATTGCCACCAGTGAGGTGAGTCTATTGCCACCAGTGAGGTGAGTCTATTGCCACCAGTGAGGTGAGTCTATTGCCACCAGTGAGGTGCGTCTATTGCCACCAGTGAGGTGAGTCTATTGCCACCAGTGAGGTGAGTCTATTGCCACCAGTGAGGTGCGTCTATTGCCACCAGTGAGGTGCGCCTCTCTGCTCCCCACTTCCTTGTTCCGTCACTCACTTTAGAAATCTCCCATCTCACTCTCTCTTCCTGCACGGCATTCTCCAGTCCATGCCACAATTGAGGGGCTCTTCTGCTCCTCGATCTCTTTCTCCTTTGATTCCGCGTCGTTTATGTTTTGTTACAGTCACATACACTCACACAAGCACCATTACACTCTGCTCATTCCCATATGCAACATCACATCACGCCCACACGCATAATTCGCTCCCGCTCTCCATAAACAACTTCCCCCACCAGGCCAGGGCATACTCGTTATTAGCTGACCTGGGAGCATCGCCGCCAGTGAGATACTGCAAAGTTACTGCTTAGGTGATTCCTGGTAGTGCTGTAGACAGTGCTATATACGCCTGCGAAAGCGCAATGGATCATATTCTTTGCTTGCAAGGATAAGGGACTGCACCGGAGAACATGGGCCTGTCTGTACATGGGCCTCCCACCTAAACAAGACAATCGGATTCAGTTAGCTCGGGTTGTGCCTGCCTGTAGCAGTAGGATCTTGTCAAACACTAAGCAAGCAGCCTCTCTGCGGATTCTCCTGCACACTATTTACAGTTCCAGTACACAGCATCGACAGGCATGCGTGGGTTGTGCAGCCACATGGAGTGTACACCGCTGGTGGGTGGGTGGCCTGAGAGATTGGGATGGAGGGCCTCTGGCCAGCGGGCTGGCGCTCCATGGGTGTGAGAGAGGAAGTGGGCCGTCAGCCAGCGGAGGCACGGGGGCAGCGGCAGTGCGCGGGTTACAGGGCGATGCAGCCGCTGGTGTGCACATGGGGACGGGTGGGCAGGCTTTCCAGGGGTGAGAGATGGCCTGTATGCGCAGCAAGCAGGCGCAGCAAGCAGGCGCAGCATGGGCGTGAGAGAGGAAGTGGGCTGCTGGGGAGATGGTCGGCAGCAACAGGTGGGAGCAGTCAGGCAGCGGAGGCACGGGGGCAGTGGCAGTGCACGGGCTGCAGGGCGATGCAGCCGCTGGTGTTGAGGGAGCGGCGGGCAGGGCAGGTGTGCAGATGGGGGTGCGCGTCACACACCGCCTGCAGGGCTGACGGGGTGATGGCCAGGCAGCCGCTGATGTTGAGCGAGACCAATCCGTGCGCGCCACGTGGCGGGCGCGAGTAGAGCACCGTGGTGGCATCGCCCCTGAGGAGTGGGGACAGGGATGGGTGAGCCACAGTGGGGGAGAGGGTTCTGGGGTTAAGGTTGTGGCAATGAATGAGGATTGGATGTAACTGAGGAGAGGGGAGAGTGAGGACATGAGTGGTGGTGGCAAGGCATGCAGCACAGTGTGTCCATGCCATGGCATGCCATGGGCATGAGTGGAACATTGCAGCAGAGGTGCTGCTGTGAAGAGCAGCACAGATACCGCATACCGGGCAGCCGTTGCGATCACTTGTGCAGTCAGAGATGGAGGCATCGAAAGCAGAAGAATAATCAAAAGCACGGGGGAGGGGGGGTTGAACTGATGCTACTCACATGCGAGGGGTGGCTGGCAGGGCCAGCCTTGGGGGGATGCTCCTCCTCATGCCCCGTGCCGCGGCAGCAGCCCTCTCACATGCTCCCATGGATGTTGGTTTCAAGGATCCGTGCTTGCCAGCATGGCGGTGCCACATGGCAGCCGCCCCGTCAGCGAGTGCCAGCATGGCGTGGCTGGTGAGCTGGCGGCAGCAGTGCAGCCCCAGGCCCTGCAGCAAGGGGCAGTGCGCCGCGAGTGACACCACTGACGCGTCTGATTGTGGGCACGGGGATGGCGGCAGGCAGGGAGAGCAGGGATAGCAGTTGGTTGGATTAATGCTTTGTTCCTCATGGAGTGCCCCACGCGCTGCAGCAACGGGCAGTGCGCTGCGAGTGACACCACTGACGCGTCTGATTGGGGTGGAGGGCGGCACACAGGGAGGTCAAATGGGTTAGAAGAAAAGATTCGCTGTTAATAGTAGAGTGCCCACGCGCTGCAGCAAGGGGCAGTGCACCGCGAATGACACCACTGACACGTCTGGTGGTCACACGGAACGATGGGTGGTGAGGAGGGTGGCAGGAGGAGGATGCATTGTTTCTCATGGAATGTGGTGGGATGGTCATTGAGGGGCGGAGTCGTGGAGGAGAATGGGGGTGGAGCAGGGCAGCAGAGCCGTGTGTGTGAGGGATGGACATGTGTGTGAGCACAAGGAGGGACACAAGTGCTGGGCGGCTTAGCAAAGTGTGTGTGTGGAAAAGAGCAAATGCCTTGTTGGGATGGAACCACCCGTGCTCGCAGTCCCATGCTACACGAAGAGAAGACCCATGCTGCAGCACGAGCCATTTCATGAGTGCGACCTTAGAACCAATCGCATGGCCAGTGTTTCCAGCCCACACCCGTGCATGAGATGAGTTTTGACGCGCCTCAAAACTAAAATTGATGAGTCGACCTTAAAATGAACCCCATGGCCAGTGTCCCCAACCCACACCCGTGACCCTTGAGTCCGCTAAAAGCATATCTTTTAGACACCTCAATACCGTAATGAACTCAAAACATACGGTACCTGTGATGCGGTAGCAGCCACAGAGGTCCACCACCCTGAGCCCCGGGCACCCCCTGGCCACAGCCGTGACCCCTCGGTCCGTGACGCCCTCACACCACCCCAGGTTCACCACCTCTAGCCATTTGCACCCCTGTGCTAGCGCCTGGGGGACAGGCATGTAGGAGGAAGGGGAGAGTGAAGGAACGGTGCAAACGCCATTGGTGGAAACAGTTGTCTGGATGGCTGGTGCAGCCACAGGCACCCCTGGGATAGCCCATGGGTGAGTGGGGCGGGGAAAGGTCGGTGGAGAACAGCAAAGGGGGGATTCGGGGTGGGAGAGGACAGTACAGTAAAAAACTATCTGTGAATGGGGTGTTCCGAGAATTGAACTCGGGACCTCTCGCACCCTAAGCGAGAATCATGCCACTAGACCAAACACCCGTTGAGTGGCTGTAAGTACGTAATTTTACTAACAATTTTCTCAAGCGCAGCTCACACAATCACAGCACACGCACAATGAGAGCTTGGTAGGTGGCGGCATGGCGGCAGCCACACAGGGAGAGCTCTCCCAGCTGCGTGCAGCGCGCCGCCAGTGCTGTGAGGCCCGCGGGGGAGATGGCGCTGCAGGCACTCAGATCCAACACCTGAGTCATGCACGGGGTGGAGGGGGATGTGGCAGGGGGCAGGGGGCAGGGGGCAGGGGGCAGGGGGCAGGGGGCAGGGGGCAGGGGGGCACCAGTGTGGGGGGAACGAGGCGGCCAGCGAAGCGGGAGGCAGCGACAAGTGGACGGTAGAGAAAACGATTTGGTGATAGCACGTTGAGGAAGGGGAGGTAAGGGGTGGGAATGGGTGGGCAGGGTTAGAGCAGGTGAGAACGTGAAAAAGAAAGGCAATAAAGTAAAAAGAGAGTAGAAAGAGAGAGTGAGCATGTGAGCAGGTGAGCAGGTGAGCAAGTGACATAAAGGGGAGGGTAGAGGAAGGGGAGAAAGTGGAAGGGCAATAGAGGAGGGAGCGAAAGAGAAGGGGAGTGGGCTGACATACCTGCAGCGAGGGGCAGTGGGAGGCGAGTGCGTGCAGTGACGTGTCAGTGATGAGGGGGGAGCCACTGAGGAGCAGACACGTCAGCATGGGTGAGCTGGCAGCAACAGTTGCCAGCGTGGCATCCCTTAGTGATGGACAGCGCCGCAGATCGAGCACCTGATGTGGTGGATGGGAGTAGGAGGAGAAGGAGGTGGAGAAGGAGGTGGAGAAGGAGGAAAATAGGAAAGCAGCACGAAGAGTGGGATTTCAGGCAAATGCATGCACGGATAAAGGTGTAGAGGAGGGGTGGCGCCGTGACAGCAAGGGGCGGTGGTGACAGGGAATGCAGGGAGGCACCATTGGGTGGATGGGCAAGGTCAAGGGGCTGGCGTGAGTGAGCGCGGTTACTTCTACCAACGATCGGGTGTGAGAAGAGTTTGAGAGAGGGTGTGAGTGAGGGGTTGAATGTGAGTGTGAGGGTGTGTGTGCCTACATACTCACCTGCAGGCGTGCAAAGTGCGGCACGAGGTGAGAGGCCAGCGAGTTGACGCCCTTGGCACACCTGTGTGGTGCCACGCACACGCATCCATCGCATCGCGCAAGGCAAGATGGGTGAGGATGGGTGAGGATGGGTGAGGATGGGTGAGGGGATTTTTAGCGCATGAGGGTAAGCAGGTAGGGCATAAAAGAAGCAGCTCAGGAATGGAGCAACCATCTCGGGCCTTCCATACCCAACCTCTGAACCACTAACGCCCAAAACCCCCGTGCTTTACATCCCAACACGCAGGTCAGGCGACTCACCAGGAGAGCGACAGCTGGGCAGTGAGGCCGAACACAGCAGCGGCCCACCCCCTGCAGACAGCAGCGGCGCACAGGAGCGTGCGGTTGTCAGTGCGGTCGAGAATGGCCAGTAGCACCTCCCCTGGCACGTCCTTCCAGCCGCCCCCGCAATGCTGCTGCGCTTGACACGTGGCATGGCGCCATGCTGGCGAGCATGCTGAGTCAGCGGTGTCAAAGTTGTGAGCGAGAGGGAGGGAGGAGGAGGAGGAGAGTGAGGAGGAGGAGGAAGGGGACGGATAGAGGAAGAGACTGCTGCTGCTGGGGGAACTGGTGCTGCTGCTGTCCCTGCTCTCGTCTGACGTGGCAGTATGCAATTGGTTGTCAGACGGATGGGGGGGCGTGTGGACGAGGTGGGAGTGGCAGAGGGAGTGCGGCGTGGGCGGGTGAAGCAGGATGGAGTGTCTCCTGCGCTGCTGCTGCCTCCGCCACTTGGACGGGTGCGCGGGGGAGAGGCAGGCGGAGTGGTGCGCGGGGGACGGGTGGGCGGAGGGCGGAGAGGGGGATGGGTAGGTGGAAGAGGGGGGGTTGGAGGGAGCACCGAGGGAGGCGGAGGAGGGGGATGCGGGGGAAAGGGAGGAGGAGGGGGGCGGAGAGGAGGGGGAGGTGGAATGGGATGGGGGCGAGGCGGGTGCAGGCGGCAGGGGAGGCGGGGAGCGGGAAGAGGGGGGCGACGGGGGGCAGTGGGGGGCGTTGCTGGGGCAGAAGAAGAGATCGAGACTGGTGTGGGGGGGAGAGAGGGTTGGGGGGGAATAGGCGCGCGGAGGGGCATGGGGAGAGGGGAGATGGGAGGCGCATGGGCAAGGGACGGGGAGGCTGAGTTAGAAGGAGTGGAGGGGAGTGCGAGCAGGGAAGAGGAGAGCGACAGGAAGGCTGGTGTATTGAGACTGTGCGGCGATAACGCGCAGGGGTGCAATGTGCTGTGGTCTACCCCCAACCCCAATGTGCTGTGGTCTACCCCCAACCCCAATGTGCTGTGGTCTACCCCCAACCCCAATGTGCTGTGGTCTACCCCCAACCCCAATGCTTCACATGCACAATGTGGTCTCTCATGACTAATCCGTTCGATTAAACGCCTCAACAGGGACTTCGTATTTTGTCTTTAATCCATCGAGTGCACTGCGCTGTGTTCCTTCACGTAACGAATCAAGGGACGCGTGTGTTCGTTGCTCTTTAGTACGCGCTCCGCTTCAGCCGCGTCATCCGCACAGCATAAGACGCGAACAGCTCATTTAGCGGAGAGTGGTGGTTGCAGCATTGGTTCGAACGATAAAGAGGGCAGCACGGGCAGGCATGGCGGCGGCACATAGCGCGGGAGCAGCGCAAAGGCGAGGGAGCAGCACGAGCAGGGCAGCTATCTTGAGAATATTCTTAAAGCGACACGTGCGGCGCGAGAAGGAAGGCGCGGAGAAAAGAGAAAGAGCAGCTCTTACCAGGCGTCATTCAGTCGCACGCCGCGGTGCTTTTGAGAAGGAAGGCAGGGAACTAAGGCACGGACGGAAGGCCAGCAGAGAGCAGTTCTCACCATGCGTCGCTCAGTCGCACGCCTCGTTGCTTCATTCGCGACATCAGAAACAGCGCGCACTCCATGTCGCCCGCGTTCGCGCACCATCGCACAGCGTCGCTCACCGCGTCGCTCATCTGAGCCGCCGTTTGTCGCTGCGGTTGCTGCGACGCGTCGCAAGGGGCGTGCGACGCCATGAGAAGGACCGCGAGGAGAGAAGACGGGCGCGTCGAACGAGAAGCTCGTTCGGAAAGGGCGCGCTAAGAGAGGGCGCGCTCAGAGAGGGCGCGCTCAGAGAGGGCGCGCTCAGAGAGGGCGCGCTCAGAGAGGGCGCGCTCAGAGAGGGTCCTCTAAGAGCGTTGCGGGTGACCGTTACAAGGGGACGAGCGTTGCGGTTCTACAGGCGGCGGCAGATGTATTTAGCGCAACCTCGGAGATTCTGCTGGCGCAGTCAGCTCCGCGAGCAGTCAGAGAGCTGCCTGAGAGGCCGGCGAGGGCGGCAGTTGCGTGGCTGCGGTGGTGCCTCAGGTGGTGGAATGGCAGTAGCGACCTAGCAGATGTCTCCTCCCTGCGCGCTCTCTCTTCTTCGATTCTTGGTCACCTCTCTCACTGCACTGAAATTATCACCAGAGAGCGTGGCGGCTATGCCTTACCGCTGTGCAGTTTGCACCATGACTGCGCGTGGGCGAGTGATGCTTGGCCGCAATTCCATGACGAGGTGCTTGGCTGCTTGCTTGGGTCTCGCTTGCAACGAGCAGAGGGGGGCGAGCGAAGAGTACACGGCGCGCTAAGAGTACAGGATGGGAGAGCTAGGCGCTGATTACGAGGCGCGCTCACCAAATTGCCCCTGGTTCAATCCACGTGGCGAGCTCGTGATGCGATACGATTGGTCAATTATGGAAGTGACATGGGCAGTGCTGACGCAGCAGCATGCGCGAACACTCGTCATTTCCCCTCCGAACAGTCACGAGGCACCACGATCCCGTCAGCGACGAGTGGGCGAAAACCGAGGGGGACACCCTTGGACGAACGCCTTGTGGTCTTTTTGTCGAGGAAAACAAGATGAAGTTTCAATATGAGATATTGCACATTCTTACATAACCACACGAATATAGTCTGGAAAACTTGCAATTCTGTTGGAGTTTTAAGGGTTAAACACGTGTTGCTGTAATATAAAGCATGCTAGAACATGCGAGTGTAGTAATTCGGAGTGCCAAATCCCACTCCACCCAATGCCCCCGACCCGGACCTCACGACCCAGGCCGATGGTGGGCATGAGGAGGCATTGCAGGTTCGGAGGACTGCTGGGGACGCAGGTGAATGAGGTGCTTGTAACGAATCATGGCCTCTCTCTGTATCGGGGACAGCCTCCCCTCGAAGATGCTGGGGCCTATTAGCAGCTGTAGCTCCGCCACTGCCACGCCCGCTGCTGCTGCCACCTCCGGCTGTAGCAAGGGGGGGAGCGGAGGGAGGAGCACGGAATATCAGAAGGGGAGGAGCGGGAGAGGGGTTGAAATCAAGGCGAGCAGGCGCATAAGGGACAGACGCATGAACGAGTCTGGAGGGGGTGAAATCAAGGCGAGCAGTAAGGGGTGGGGCGAGCAGGCAGTGAGGGCGGCAGAGGGACCTGGTGAGAGGCGAGGGACCTGGTGAGAGGCGAGAGCGGTGAAGAGCGGCGGCAGGAAGAGCTCCACGTGCACCTTGAACTGGCGCTTGCCCATTGGCTGGGAGGGGAAAGGGGAGGTGTATGGGGATGGGGGGAACGGAGGAGGGGAGGCAGCATGAGGTTGAGAAGGGAGCATGGAGGCGTAGGTGAGCAAGCAAGAGGAGCAGGATGTCTTGAATATGAGAGTGTGATGGGGACTGTGTGAACGCATGATGAGTGGGTAGTGGGCAGTGGACAGAAAGGCTGGGCGCTGGTGGGGGGAGAAGGGGGCGGGAGTGACCTTGGCGATGCGCGGCAGGTGGCGCATTATGGTGACTAGGAGGGCTGGATGGGCTGCTGCTGCTGGTGAACCCGCCTGGTGGATGTTGGGTGCGGTGAGGATGGGTTGAGAGGGGTGGAAGAGACAAGGCAACGTAATGTTACAAACAACCATGGCATGGCATGGCATAGAATGGCATGGCATGGCATGGAAAACAGGACATGAGTGGCAGCACGAAGGTGTGCTGTGTGCAGTGCGAAATCCCATGGGTGAGGGCAGAGGGCAAGCGGGCACACAGAAGAGGTGGGCACACAGAAGAGGTGGGCACACAGAAGAGGTGGGCACACAGAAGAGGTGGGCACACAGAAGAGGTGGGCACACAGAAGAGGTGGGCACACAGAAGAGGTGGGCACACAGAAGAGTTGGGCACACAGAAGAGGTGGGCACACAGAAGAGGTGGGCACACAGAAGAGGTGGGCACACAGAAGAGGTGGGCACACAGAAGAGGTGGGCACACAGAAGAGGTGGGCACACAGAAGAGGTGGGCACACAGAAGAGGTGGGCACACAGAAGAGGTGGGCACGGGTCGGTAGGAACTCCCCCACCGCAGAGGGGGCAGCGGCAGCACGCACGCAAGGATGGTGTGTGCAATACAATGCAGTGCAGTGGTGAGGGTGGGGGGCGAGGGGACAGACACACCAGCTGTGCGAGGGTGGGGAGGAACTCCCCCACAGCAGCGGGGGCAGCGGCAGCAAGGAAGGGCAGCAGCTGCACCGCCCCCTCCGACTGCTCCCATGGCTCTGCTGTGGGCGCATGGTGGCACGTGCACCGGGCAGCAGGGGCAGCAGCAGAGGCAGCAGCAGCAGGAGCAGGAGGAGCAGCAGGGGCAGCAGCAGCGGCAGGGGTGGCAGTGGCAGCAGTGACAGTAGGGGCAGAGGCAGAGGCGGAGGAGGAGGAGGAGGTGTTGACTGGCACGGGCTCGAAGATGAACTTCTGCAGGCGAGGTGGAGGGATGGGATGGGATGGGCATGGGGGGACGAGTGGAGCACGGGGTTGGCATGGTATGTATGGAGTGCTGTGTGGTGGCGCGATGTGGCGTAGAGTGGCATGGGCATGCCAAGAAAAAGTGTGGCTTAGCAGAGCAGGCAGCAAGGCATGGAGGAGGAGAGGAAAGGAGGTGCGGGAGAGGAGTGAGTACCTGGTGAATGGAGGAGGGGCGGGCTGGGTCTGGTGGTGACGCGGGGTCCCTGCTTGCAGTGCGGCGCGAGGAGACGGGATGGAAGCATGGGCGAGAAAGTGAGGGAAAAAAGGTGAACCAAGGGATGGCAGAGACTGGAAGAGAGGACGTAGAGGGAAGAGATGGGACGTAGTGCGGAGAGGTGGGCATGGAGGGCAGCACCAAGGACAGCACGCGGGGCAGTGGCGGGCAGGGCAGCGCAGCACGGACCTGAGAGAGATGCGCACAGCCTGCAGGCCCGAGGGTGCTGTGGCAGCAGCAGGAGGATGCAGAGGGTGGGGATGGGGGTGGTGAGTGGACGCGGAGCAGGAGTGGGACGCGGCAGGGCAGCAGGCGGAGGGGGAGGCAGGGGTGGGTGGGTGAGTGTGTGTGTGCGAGTGCGGGGCGGGGGAAGAGAGGGCGGCAGGCAGCAGGCTGTGGAGCGCGTCTTGGGTGATCTGAGGGGTGGGGGGGAAGAGAGAGGGGTGGGCTTCATCACACAAAGGACCCTTAGAGAACAATGAGACGTCTGAAACTGAGGTAACTGTTGAATCGTTTCAACCACAATGCATGTGCGACCCATGCCTGTGTGCCCCCCCTGTCACCTGCAGCGCCTTGCCCTGTGTCTCCCTGGTGGTGAGCGCCGCCCCTATGAGCGCCGCCGCATGCTGCCTCACCGCCGGGATCACTGCGTATGGGACAGGGTGGGTGGTGGCAGGGTGGGTGGTGGCAGTGGTAGAAGAGAACTGAACACGAGGGAAAGATTAGCAAAGGGCAGAGCAATGGAGCGTGGAGGGGATGAGGGGGACGAGTGACGGCATGCAATGTGTGGGTTGGACAGGACGCACCGTGCAATGTGTGGGTTGGACAGGACGCACCGTGCAATGTGTGGGTTGGACAGGACGCACCGTGCAATGTGTGGGTTGGACAGGACGCACCGTCTGTGAGGTTGGCAAGCCAGGTTGGTGCCCACGTGGCAATGTGCTGCGCTGCCACGTCACCATAATGCTCCACCACACCGGCACTCGCTGGTAGCGTGGACGGCGAAGAGGAGAGACAGCGGGGACAGAGATAAAGAGGCGGTGGGGACAGAGGTGTGAGTTGAAGGGGAGAAAGAGGGAAGGGAGGCACAGCAGTGTTAGGTGAGGGATGAAGGGCGCGAGTGGGCTGAAGTGAAAGTGGAGCGATGTGCATGTGGAGGGGGGTGTGCAGCACGGCAAGGCAGTGGAGGAGGGAATCAGCTGTGAGGCGTCTCAAGAAGAAGAGCAAGTCAGGGGCCGCCGAGGGCAGGGGAAGGAGGGGCACCTGAGCAGGCGGCACAGCGCACGGGCCACACAGGGTCGGTGTGGCAGCGGAGGAGGCTCGGCAGCAGGTCCGGCAGCACCGGCAGCACCACCTGGATGGAACCATGGGGGGTGGGGAGGGGGTAGGAGTGGGAACAGAGGGAGCAGGATGAAGAGTGTGCTGTGCGGGGGCAGAGGTAGGGAAGGGCTGAAAAAACCAGCAGGGGAATTGAATGCAGTGCGGTGAGAGTGAGAGAGAGCAGCATTGCGATGCTGTGCCAGCAGTAGCAGCAGCCCCTACCAGTTGCTGTGCTTCCCAATCGTCACCCGGATGCCCCACCTGCCCCTCCACCCGCCACTGCCCTCCCCCCCGTACAATCTCACCGGGCGGTCAATCTTGGCAGCCACCTCAGCAATGCAGAAGCACGCCGTCTGATGGCACGGGTGGGTGGGGTGGGGTGGGGTGGGGTTTGGGAAGGCGTGGAGAGAGGGGTGGGGAGCGGTGCGCAGGGAGGGTATTGTGTTACTGGCGTAGCCAGTGCTATTCCACTTGCTGCACATACGATATGAGTTGGGAAGTGGCAGAGCAAGGGAACAACGGGATTGTGTGATGCTCACTGCACTGTGTGAGTGAACGCCACGTGCCACGTGCCACATGCAACATGCCCCACACCACACGCCCCATGCCCCATGCTCCAGCCCCATGCCCCATGCTCCAGCCCCATGCCCCATGCTCCAGGCCCATGCCCCGCCTCATGCCCCATGCACGTCGCTCATGCCCGACACCCCATGCCCCATGACCCACGCACCTCGCGCACGAGGTAGTTCTGGGCGCGCGCCTGCATGCAGTAGAAGGCCGCCACCAGCGCCATGTGCTGCGCCACTGCCGCCCGCCCGCCCCCCCCCATCACGCGCTGCCACGTGTCCTGTGAGTAGATGCGCACCCCGTCCGCCCCGTAGTAGCGGTTGAACACCCTGGGGGGAAGGGGTAGGGGAGGGGAAATGGGAGACGGAGGGGAGAGTGGAGAGAGGGGATGGGGAGAGGGAGGGAGGGAGGAGGGGGGATTGGTAATGGAGCACAGTGCGAGTAGATGCGCACCCTGTCCGTCCGCCCATAGTAGCCGTTGAAATCCCTGGCGGGGGCAGGGGGAGAGGGAGGGGAGGAAGGGGGCAGGGGGAGTGGAGACTGGTGTGTTATGGGTGGTGGTGGTGTGGCATGGCATGTGATGGTGGTATGGCATGTGGCATGATGCCATGGTGGAGTGGCATGGCGGGCAGCAGGGGGCTCACATGGCGGGCAGCAGGGGGCTCACATGGCGGGCAGCAGGGGGCTCACATGGCGGGCAGCAGGGGGCTCACATGGCGGGCAGCAGGGGGCTCACATGGCGGGCAGCAGGGGGCTCACATGGCGGGCAGCAGGGGGCTCACATGGCGGGCAGCAGGGGGCTCACATGGCGGGCAGCAGGGGGCTCACATGGCGGGCAGCAGGGGGCTCACATGGCGGGCAGCAGGGGGCTCACATGGCGGGCAGCAGGGGGCTCACATGGCGGGCAGCAGGGGGCTCACATGGCGGGCAGCAGGGGGCTCACATGGCGGGCAGCAGGGGGCTCACATGGCGGGCAGCAGGGGGCTCACATGGCGGGCAGCAGGGGCTCACATGGCGGGCAGCAGGGGGCTCACATGGCGGGCAGCAGAGGGCTCACATGGCGGGCAGCAGGGGGCTCACATGGCGGGCAGCAGGGGGCTCACATGGCGGGCAGCAGGGTGGGCAGGTAGCGCTCCTTGTGATGCATGGCCCCCGCTGCCAGGAACAAGGCTCGGTTGCCCACCGATGCCGCTGGGTCAAGGTGGGGGAAGGGGAGGAGGGGAGAAGGGGAGGAGGGGATGAGGCGATGAGATCAAGGGACGCACGGAGGGAGGTGGAGGGGCAGAAGCAGAGTGGAAAGAGTTCTGGCTGGTGTTACCGCACTGCACTTCACAGCCCTGCAAATTGCCACAATGCATCTAACCGCTCTGCATCTAACCGCTCTGCATCTAACCACACTGCATCTAACCGCTCTGCACCTCACCGTATCTGACTTGGCTCCAGTTGTCCCCCAGCCCCACAGCAAGCTGCGAGGCAATGGTCTCCCCCAAACTGCACAGAGCACATGAGAGAAAAGGGGAGAGAGGCAGAGGAGGCAGAAGAGAGAGAGGGGGCAGAGGAGGCAGAGGGAAGGATTGGGGCCAGAAGCGAGGAAATTTACAGGGGTGGGAAGAAAGCAGAGGGCAGAAGGGAGAAGAAAGTTGAAAGAAGGAAGGAACCGATAGGGAACACGATGCGAATGGATCAGGAAAGAGTGTGGCAGGTGCGGGCTGAACGGGCTGAGGAACTGGAGCATGGGCACAAGCATGAGATGGCCGACACGAAGCAGCGCACCTGGTGAGCTGCGTGGCCCCCATGACGTGGCACAGCGCAGCGAGGGCAAACATGGCAGCCTCACGCACAAAGCGATTGCCATGCCGAACCACCATCCCCACCACCTCCACCGTACCCCCACTCATCTCCCCCACCACCTCCTCCCACTCCGCCCCCCCCTCCCCCTCCTCCTCCCTCCCTCCTTCCCCTGCATCTCCCCCCTTGCCAACCACAACTGGCCCCCCTGCCCTCTCTCCTCCTGCACCTCTCCCCGTGCCTCTCCCCCCTGCCCTCCGCTCCCCCAGCCCATCCAGCAGGCGCTGCAGCGAGCGCAGCGCCGTCTCCAGACTGCGCCCCCGCGCCTGGTGGGGGAAGCGAGAGAAGAGGAGTTGGGGATTGTGAGAGGTCAAAGGAGTTGGGGATTGTGAGAGGTCAAAGGAGTTGGGGATTGTGAGAGGTCAAAGGAGTTGGGGATTGTGAGAGGTCAAAGGAGTTGGGGATTGTGAGAGGTCAAAGGAGTTGGGGATTGTGAGAGGTCAAAGGAGTTGGGGATTGTGAGAGGTCAAAGGAGTTGGGGATTGTGAGAGGTCAAAGGAGTTGGGGATTGTGAGAGGTCAAAGGAGTTGGGGATTGTGAGAGGTCAAAGGAGTTGGGGATTGTGAGAGGTCAAAGGAGTTGGGGATTGTGAGAGGTCAAAGGAGTTGGGGATTGTGAGAGGTCAAAGGAGTTGGGGATTGTGAGAGGTCAAAGGAGTTGGGGATTGTGAGAGGTCAAAGGAGTTGGGGATTGTGAGAGGTCAAAGGAGTTGGGGATTGTGAGAGGTCAAAGGAGTTGGGGATTGTGAGAGGTCAAAGGAGTTGGGGATTGTGAGAGGTCAAAGGAGTTGGGGATTGTGAGAGGTCAAAGGAGTTGGGGATTGTGAGAGGTCAAAGGAGTTGGGGATTGTGAGAGGTCAAAGGAGTTGGGGATTGTGAGAGGTCAAAGGAGTTGGGGATTGTGAGAGGTCAAAGGAGTTGGGGATTGTGAGAGGTCAAAGGAGTTGGGGATTGTGAGAGGTCAAAGGAGTTGGGGATTGTGAGAGGTCAAAGGAGTTGGGGATTGTGAGAGGTGAAAGGAGTTGGGGATTGTGAGAGGTCAAAGGAGTTGGGGATTGTGAGAGGTGAAAGGAGTTGGGGATTGTGAGAGGTCAAAGGAGTTGGGGATTGTGAGAGGTCAAAGGAGTTGGGGATTGTGAGAGGTGAAAGGAGTTGGGGATTGTGAGAGGTCAAAGGAGTTGGGGATTGTGAGAGGTCAAAGGAGTTGGGGATTGTGAGAGGTCAAAGGAGAAACAGTGGCTGCATGCATGCATGCCCACATGTAAGCACGCGTGCATCCCCGCCTTCCCACCCACGTGCCCACCTGCCCACCTACCCGCCCGCCTGCCTGCCCACCTGCCTCCCCCCCGCCCTACCGCCGTCATCAACTCAGTCGCTGTCTGCCGCGCGCTTGCCCTCCCTCCTCCCCCACCTACTCCCCCCACTCCCTCCGCGCCCCCCCGCCTGCCCATGGCCGCTGCCAGCCCTGCCTGGTCCGCCCGGGGGGAACTGGGCGCATCCCCCATCCCCTCGCTCCCCTCCCCCCCTTCCCCCGCCACTCCCCCTTCCGCGCCCTCCTGCGCCCCCTCCCCTTGCTGCGCCCCCAAGGCTGCGTGCCTGCTTCCCTTTTCCCCCTCCCCGCCCGCCTCCTCCCCGCCCGCCTCCTCCCCGTCGCCCTCCTCCTGCCCTTCCAGCAGCGCCGGCAGTGGCTGCTGCTGCTGCTGCAGCGTGCGCAGGATGTGGGCCTTCACGGCCCTGAGGAGGGCGATGGGAGGGGGTGTGGGGAGGGGAGGCGAGGGGAGATTCACGTGTGCTGAAAAGGCCAAAGGGGATGCTGGCGGTGTGTGGCCTGGCATGGGTGGCGAACACATAACCAGGGATGAGAGCAGGGGCGAGGAGGCCTAACGCGGGCGAGACAAGGGGATGATGGGCGGGAGTGGCATGGCGGGTTGTGGTTTGATGAATGAAAACAAGAGGCAAGGGCGGAAGGGCGACCTGAAGAGGGCAAGGGCGGCGGGCAGCGACCCGTAGTGTGCCAGGGCACAGAGGGCCTCCGCTGCTGCCAGCCTGGCATGCGCACACACATGCACGCACACAGACACACACAGAGGGGCGAGCGAGCAGGTGATGGGGAAGAGGTGGAGGGGCAGGCAGGGCGTGTGTGGGAGAAGAAACAGGACATGAGTGGTCGTGAGTGGTAGTGAGTGGTCGTGAGTGTGCAGCAATGATGCTGATGATGCTGATGCTGATGCTGATGCTGATGCTGATGCTGATGCTGATGCGCTGATGCTGATGCTGATGCTGATGCTGACGCTGATGCTGATGCTGATGCTGATGCTGATGCTGATGGGCTGATGCTGATGCTGAGCATGCATGCATGAATGTTTGTGGTGCACATGGTACAAGCATGGTGCACATGGTACAAGCATGGTGCACATGGTACAAGCATGGTGCACATGGTACAAGCATGGTGCACATGGTACAAGCATGGTGCACATGGTACAAGCATGGTGCACATGGTACAAGCATGGTGCACATGGTACAAGCATGGTGCACATGGTACAAGCATGGTGCACATGGTACAAGGATGGTGCACATGATACAAGCATGGTGCACATGGTACAAGCATGGTGCACATGGTACAAGCATGGTGCACATGGTACAAGCATGGTGCACATGGTACAAGCATGGTGCACATGGTACAAGCATGGTGCACATGGTACAAGCATGGTGCACATGGTACAAGCATGGTGCACATGGTACAAGCATGGTGCACATGGTACAAGCATGGTGCACATGGTACAAGCATGGACCTCACCTTCCTCTCCACCACCCCTCTCACCCCCCCACCTGCTCACTCGTCCCCACTCACAACTCACTCCATGACTCTCAACCTCCTTGGATTCTCATCTCGCCTCCCCTTCTTCCCTCCCCACCTAACGCGAGGCTCCTCATCATCCAAGTGCCTCAGCACAGCCTCTCCTCTGCTCCGTCCCCACTCACACCTCGCTCCCCACTCACACCTCGCTCCCCACTCACACCTCGCTCCCCACTCACACCTCGCTCCCCACTCACACCTCGCTCCCCACTCACACCTCGCTCCCCACTCACACCTCGCTCCCCACCTGACTCGCTCCCCTCACTCCCCACCTGACTCGCTCCCCTCACTCCCCACCTGACTCGCTCCCCTCACTCCCCACCTGACTCGCTCCCCTCACTCCCCACCTGACGCGCGGCTCCTCATCATCCATGTGACGCAGCACAGCCTCCCCCGCTCCGCTGCAGAACGCCGCTACACCTTCCCCTCCCTCGCTCCCCTCCCTCCCCCCTCCCTCCCTCTTCCCCCCCTCCTCCGCCCCGCCTCCCCCACTCCCCTGCCCCGCGCCCTCGCCCACTGCAGCGTACGGCTCCTCGCCCCCTGCAGCGCACGGCTCCTCGCTGCCCGCGTGCTCGCACTGCCACGGCTGAGCGCCCAGCACTCTGCTCCAGTGCCGCAGCAGCACCTGCCAGGCGTGGGGGGTTGGTGCAAGCAAGAGAGGAGGTTGGGGCAAGCTTGCTGTGATGCCATGGGGCTGTGTAGGGCACAGCGTGTAGGGCACAGCGTGTGGGGCACAGCGTGTAGGGCACAGCGTGTGGGGCACAGCGTGTGGGGCACAGCTTGTGGGGCACAGCGTGTGGGGCACAGCGTGTGCACAGCGGGGATGTTCCTCACATCGCACCCCATCAGCTTCCATTCTTCCCTCACCCGCCCAAACACACCCCACAGCGAGCGAGTCACGCGACCCCATCCCCAGCGCCCAGCCCAGCCCAGCCCAGCCCAGCCCAGCCCAGCCCAGCCCAGCCCAGCCCAGCCCAGCCCAGCCCAGCCCAGCCCAGCCCAGCCCAGCCCAGCCCAGCCCAGCCCAGCCCAGCCCAGCCCAGCCCAGCCCAGCCCAGCCCAGCCCAGCCCAGCCCAGCCCAGCCCAGCCCAGCCCAGCCCAGCCCAGCCCAGCCCAGCCCAGCCCAGCCCAGCCCAGCCCAGCCCAGCCCAGCCCAGCCCAGCCCAGCCCAGCCCAGCTCAGCCCAGCCCAGCCCAGCCCACCATACCTCGGCCCCCAGGAAGCCCCCATGCCGCGCACTCCACCCGCAACTGCCGCTGCCGCTGCTGTTGCTGCTGCCGCTGCTGCCACTGCCGCCACCCCCACTTGCGCCGCCCCCCCCTTCTTCTGACCCCTGCGCCCCACGCCCTGCGCTCCCTGCCTCTTCCTCCGCCCCTTCCCCCTCCCCCGTTCCCCCCTCCGCCCCCGCGTCCCCCCGCCCCTGCATGGCGAGCAGGCGCGCGCTCACAGCCTCCATGCGCCTTGCCGCGCCGTCACTGCCGCTCGCCACGCCTGGGGGCGAATGGGGGAACGGGGGAGAGGGGGAATGGGGAAATGGGGAAATGGCGGAAAAGAGGAGCGGGCCGGTGAGAGCGGGAGGCGGAGAGGATTGAGCGCGACGGGGACAGAGAGACGGGCGGAAGGAAAGGAAGCGGGATGATGAAGGGAGAGGGCGGTGGGGACGAGGAGGCGAGGGAGTGGCGGAAGCATAAATAGTGGGGAATGCGGAAGTGCGGCGCGCGCAGTTGGGAGTGGTAGGTGAGGCAAGGGGAGGGCGAACGGGCGGGGGAAGAGCGGGCAGCGGGCGTCACGCGCACCGGCGAGCAGCGCGTCGAGTGCTGTGAGCCCATTGGCGCGCTCCAGCGCCGTTCGATCCGCCAGCTGCCGCGCCACCAGCGCCACCTCGCCGCGCCACGCCGCCATCGCCGCCGCCGACTCCGCCGCTCCCGCCGCGTCCATGGCGATCACGAGAGGTGCCGCGACGCCACGTCACGGCGCCGCAACATGCGCCGCCCGAGCTTGCTTGTGAGGCGCCTCGAGGCTCTTCCGCGGATGGTCGGTACTCGAAAGGGAAGCCGGGGGAGCGCCGACTGATGGAGTGGAAAGGTGGAGAGCAAAGCGTCTGTGCAGCTCGTTGAACGTTCTGTAACCGAATTTCACTTGTACCGAGCTGCTTTTCAACACGGCGCATTCGCCAACGAGCAGGGTGGTTTGCTTGGGGCGAGGAGGTATGCAATTCCGTTTCAGGTTCAAATGAACTCATTCACGGTTCAAAGCGGTGTAAGGGGACTAACTGTTTTAGATGTCAAATCAAGTGAGCTTACTCAGCTCTTGTGACAGATGCTATTTAGAAAAAAAAGGCAGGCTAAATTAAATCAGAACTGTTAGCATGTCTGATTGTGTAATTCTTTTAGGGCATGCATTATCGCTCACTTTTGCTACCTTTTGGGCATAATGTAGAAGTGTGGCAGCAGGAAAATCGCAGAACCAGTAAGGGTAGCTCAAAATTGGCCCAAACGAAATTTATGCCGTGGGTTGGCCGAAATTCGCTGATGCAGGTTCAGGAACCGAGCACCAAGCAGACTCGACTTCAGATGCTTGGAGCAGGCTGTACACAAATGACATATTTACATTGCAGAGAAACGCTCGTTTCTGGCGTTTGTAGCCCTGACATGCGAAAACAGCCGCACCGGTACAGATCACGGAGTATGCGATTTTCCGTCGTGGGGGTCCGTGACCAATCGTTCTTGTTTCACTCCCAGGCAATTTCCAGCATTTTTTCAGGTCTGTGAACGCACAAATGACGACTTTACATTGAAGAGAAACGCTCGTTTCGGACGTTTGTAGCCCCGAGACGTGAAAACAACAGCATTGGTACAGATCATGGAGCAGCCGATTTTCTGTCGTGGGGGTCCATGACCAATCGTTCTCCCATCACTCCCAAGCACTTTCCAGCATGATTGCAGGTCCGTGAACAGGGCTCTTGCTAACTTTTAGGCCCGTCTGACGTTTTCCAAAAAAAAAAAAAAAATCGTCTGGCCCTCATATGGAGGATTCTGTTGAGTTGAGAGAGGAATGATGCACTATGGAATGAAAAGAAGTACAAGTACCAACCCTAATTGGGTTGTACCCCCTATGGGCTACCCCACTACAGCCTAAATATATGCATCAGCAATATAATCATCTGACACACCCCCATAGGCAAAGTGGGGGAGAGCAAGGGGTCACAAGACCAGTCAAGCAAAGCGAAGCAAAGCAAAGCAAGCTCAGGGTGGATCTCAAGGATACCACACAAATTCCGAGCACAAGGTCAAGGCCACAAGGCCAGTTCACATGCAGCATATATATATAACAGTGCTAAACAAGCAAGAGCAAGAATATATATATGCAGCAGTACAAGTAAGGTCAAGAGGTAAGCAAGTGAGGCCCAGTGGGCACAAGGCCTAGCAGAGTACAAAAGCGCTGATGGTCACGGGGCGGAAGTGCCTTGGTGAACACATCAGCAGTGTTGGCCTCAGTGGCCACGAAACGCAGGCGAAGCTGACCACGCCGCTGCAGCTCTCGAGCAAGGAAGTAGCGCAGAGCAATGTGCTTCGTCCTCTGCTCCAGTCTGTGCTCCTGACACAAGGCAATGGTTGCCTTGTTGTCAACGTACAGCACTGGAGGAGAACGAGGCCGCTCTCCAAGGTCAGTCAGCAGGTAGGTGAGCCAGCGAAGCTCCTAGGCAGCCATGGCCGTGGCGTAGATCTCAGCCTCACAACTGGAGCTGAGAACCAAGGAAGAGCGAGTAGAGCGCCAAGAGACAGAGCCAGAGCCAAGACTGAAGGTGTAACCCTGAGACGACCTCTGAGTAGCCTGGTCGTCAGCCCAAGAAGCGTCTGAGTGCCCAGTGAGCACAGGCCGCTCACGCCCTCCAAGCACTAGCCCCATGCCCGATGTACTGCACAAGTAGCGCAACACCCTCTTAGCTGCATCCATGTGCTCCTTCCGGTGACGGCCGGGAGCGACATAGCGTGCTAAGATGCTGAGAGGGTATGCAAGGTCAGGTCGAGTGCAGATCATCAGGTACATGAGGCAGCCCACAAGCTCTGGATACGGACCACTCGGCTCTACGGACTCATCCGAAGGCAGAGCTGAGAGCGAGTGTCCCGTAGGCAGAGGAGTGGACTGAGGCGAGGAGTACGTGAAGCCGAAGCGCTAAAGGACCTGCTGCACCATGTGTGACTGAGTCAGGGTAATGGTGCGGCGTGCTCTGTCCCGGGTGATCCGCAAGCCAAGATAGCTTGTCAGTTCACCCAGGTCGGTGCACGTGTGTCTCTTCTGCAGCTCGGACTTCACGTGGGCGAGTGCGGCAGTGTCCGCAGTGGCAAAGACCAAGTCGTCGACGTACACGAGGATGTAGAACGGCGGCAGCGAGGTGTCGGTGCGCAGAAACAGCGACGGGTCAGCAGTGGAAGGAGCAAACCCAAGAGCCGCAAGTGTAGTCCTCAGTGTGTCGTGCCACTCGCGTGGCGCCTGGCGGAGACCGTAGACTGGCCGCCGGAGGCTCCACTGGGTACCAGGAGGGAACGACCCAGTGAAACCAGGAGGGCGGCGCAGCCAGATCTCCTCGTGCAGGCGGCCCTGCAGGAAAGCAGTGCTGAAGTCAAGAGAGTGTAGCTCGTAGTCACGCTGAGCAGCGACGTGCAGCAGAACCCGAAGAGTGGTCATCTTCGGGGTCGGGGAGAAGGTCTAAAAGAAGTCAACTCCCTGTCGCTGACTGAAGCCACGAGCCACGTAGCGTGCCTTGAAGACAGGCGGAGAACCCGGCGGCCGCTTCACCCTGAAAATCCACATACCACTGACAATGTTCGCCCCAGGAGGGGGAACAGCGTCAACGTAGGTGCCTGTGGACTTCCAGGAAGCCATCTCTGCGTCCATGGCTGACTGCCACTGAGAGGAGTAGGGACCGGCCATCGCCTCTGCGTAAGAGCGTGGGGTCGGGATGTCTAGAGCATCCGGGTCTCCCTCAGGGGCAACAAGCATGGACACGAGATGAGGCAAAGCGGCGGCAAAGCACTGGAACTCCTCCTGCCTGTCCTCAAGGACGTCCGTGCCAAGAGCACAGTCACCCCCGACGGACGGAGGACAGGCAGACGCAGACGCAGCAGACGCAGACTCAGCAGACTCAGCATACTCAGCAACAAGACTGGCAGCGTAGTCTAGACGACACGCAGCAGCAAAGTCGACCAGCTCAGCAACTAGGGCAGACGCAGCAGCGGACTCAAAGGAAGGGTCAGTGACAAGAGAAGCAAGAAGACGCGTGACAGTGGGTCTGGCAGCACGGCGAGAGTCCGACTCCGGGTCGGCAAGCGTAGGAAGAGAAGACTCAGGAGGAGAAGGCAAAGGGGCACGCAGAGGAGCAGTGGACGGACGCAGAGACATCTGGTGTGTGCCAGGGACCGGAGGAGGACGCTGACGCGAACCGCGACCACTAGGGCGAGCAGCTCGGACTGGCGACGCAGGGCGGGACGCAGGCTCACGACGCTCAGCAAGACCTCCAGTAGGACCAGTGTAGGGAGAAGGAGAAGGCAGGGGAGAGGCCGGCTGTAACTGTGACTGTGACGGAACAGGCTGTGGACACTCTACGGGAGGAGAAGGACCAGTGGAAGGCGGGAGACCAAGAACCTGCTGAAGGAGCGGAACGAAGTACGGCCGAGGCCGCGCAGCACCGCCAGAGACAGCAGGGACAGCACCAACACCTCCAGAGGAAGCACCAGGACCAGTAGCAGCTCCAACTCCAGCACCTCCAGCAGCGCCAGAAGTACCCTCAGCAGGACCGACAGTCGTAGTCTCAGCGCCAGCACCCGCAGCAGCTCCAGCTCCAGAGGCACCCCCGGGCCCGGCAGCTCCAGTACTCTCAGTACGAGCACCTCCGGGACCCGTGGTACCAGCTCCCTCAGCAGCAACAGAACCTCCAGCACCCGCAGCACCCTCAGCTCCAGCAGCACGCCTCCAGCGCCGGGCAAACCACTCACGCAGCTCCAGAGGAGAGAGCGGCTCGCGGCTCGAACCACCAGGAACAGAAGCAGCAGGCGTAGCACTCCCAGACGCAGTACCCCCAGGCTCAGCACCCCCAGGCTCAGCACCCCCAGGCTCAGCACCCCCAGGCTCAGCACCCCCAGGCTCAGCACCCCCATACTCAGCACCCCGAGGCTCCGCACCCGCAGCAGCACCAGAGTCACCAGTGACCTCAACAGGCTCAACCGCGTCTACCTGAGACACACCTGAAGGGGCAGGACCCTGAGGGGGGAGGGGGTCTACCGGGGGGGGACCTGGGATGAGGAAGAGGGGCGGTGGGGGAAGGGACGGAGTGCGGTAGGGGAAGAGCCGGTAGAAGGGAACCGACTCGTCGAACGTGACGTCCTGGGAGGACAGAACACGACGAGAGGTGGGGTGGTAAAACTGCCACCCAGGTGCGTCAGGGGGGAAACCCAGGAAGACGCAAGGAGCAGCACGAGGGGACAGCTTGTCCGCAGACAAGTCGCGGACAAACGCCCGAGATCCCCAGACACGGAACGCCGACGCATCGCCAACCTTCCCCGTCCACAGCAGAGCTGGGGAGGTCTCCGGTCTGGAGACTCTGGGCTGAAGGTTGATCTGATGCGCGGCGTACCTCACCGCAAACGGCCACAGAAAATGGGGGGCAGCCGCATGCACCATGGACGTAC